CCCCCCCATGCACTAGGTTATCGTAGACTTTATTCTTTGATATCATTTATTGCCATACAATTTAACGAGCCCAAGATGAACGAAGACAAACAAAAAAGACCAGAACAAACAAATGGTAGATGTAAATAGTGAAAACTTTAGAAACATAGGGAGACCAAAAAAAAAAAAAAAGTAAGGTTTAACCATCAATAAGCCAAGTGGGATGATCACTGGGAAATTCTTCAAAAAGATAACGCTAAGCATTATTTTAGACTAAAAAAATTAATTATATTTATGCACAGCACTATTTAAAGGAAAACAAAAAACTACAATTTTCTTACAGTCATATGCCAAATGCCACAATGTATTGCTTGCTGCTGTAGGAAATCATATTCACTCAGGAAAATATATTCACTCAGAAAAAAATATTTACTCATCTAATACCGAGTAAAGAGACTGAGTAAAAATACGAAATTTGACAGTAAAATGTCAGTTAACCCTTTGTCAACTTCCTTGATGCCATCGAGACTTACGAGGAAACATAGAAACCGACACTAAAGTTATCAGAAATCAATGTTTAAAATTTAAAAAAGAAAGATAATTACATAACTTTGATTTGTTTTATTTTACTGCGTGCAGGAAATAGTGTCTAGTTAACCCCCCACCTACCCCCGCCCCCCCCACCAAAAAACCAAAAAAAAAAAACAAACAAACAAACACCTCATTTTAAATTTATTTTTTGTAGTGAAACTATGAACAAGTACTTAACGGACTCCATGACTGCCGCTTCCGGTGTGAGAAATCTCAAGGTTGAATTTGTTCAACTTTTTAATTAAAAAAAAAATCTATAAGAGGAAAAAGTAATTTGAAATTGTCCCCCCCCCCCCTCAACTCTGCAAACAGAATTGTGCTATTTTTTTTATAAGCCAAATTCAGAAGCATGCTTGTCTGTGTGTGTTTGCTGTCGTTTCCGCTTCCGGTGTGAGAAATCTCAAGGTTGAATTTGTATAACTTTTTAATAAAAAAAAAAATCTACAAGAGGAAAAAGTAATTTGAAATTGTCCCCCCCCCCCCTCAACTCTGCAAACAGAATTGTGCTATTTTTTTTATAAGCCAAATTCAGAAGCATGCTTGTCTGTGTGTGTTTGCTGTCGTTGTTATAGTACTTGTGGTTATATTTGTTGCAGATTCTGATTTTTTTTTTAAATTGAAAAGACCACCCTCTTCCCCCCTCCCCCTTCCTCGATTATTTATCTCTTGACGTCATTAATCCTGCAATTATTTATTGTGCAACATCCCCCATTTAATCTGTTACAACATCATCTTGCATGCCTTCAATTTAAGAGCAACCCGTCATCACCGAATATTTTATATTTTTATCTCTGTCATTTTTCCGATTCCTTTCCGAGAGACATTTCATCAAGTTTTGCAGAACGCATCATTTATGGAAAAAAAGTCACGCGTCAGAATCTCCAATGATGAAATTTTTTTTTTTTTAAATTCCAAAACTTGATTTTTTTTGTTGGTTGCACTTAATGGGAGCCACGTGGAAAGAACGCACATGGGTCCAGCGTTTACTTGGACCACTATGGAAGATACCGATCGATTCCTCAAACAAATTTTTTTTTTGACGTTCCTGGCAAGCAACATCACGAGATGGCGAACTAAATTACCAAAAACTGCAAATGATAGCTTTAAAGTTAATTTACGTAAATATTTAGAAGTAGAAAAAAATTCTACTCACCTTTGTTCGCGTTACTTAACTTAAAAAAATGAAAAGATGGAATAATTGAACGTTGAGATGGGGGTCAAAACAAGCAAGCTTCCTTGTTGAGACGGCTCCTGCGCGCGGACTGGGGTCTGGATCTGGGAATGGTTCACCACGGGCAGTGAGGAGAATCACCCCACACGAACTGGCCTCGCGCTTCACCAGCTGCAGAGTTTTCTTTGACGGCGTGTGCGTTTACCAGCAATGGTTCCCACACACCACTGACTCACACCAGTGACCCCCATCTCTCTCTCTTCTTTTCCTACAAGCCACCTCTATACGTTGTCGCGTCGGGTCCACTGACTTGGAATAACTTGAAATTCAAATATTTTAAAAATATTTTTCGACTTCACCTACAATTTTATAAGGCATGCAAGGCCCTTGGTAACATTTACGTTTTTTTTTAGATTTTCAGAAAACTTCCGGTCACTATTAAAGTCTAGCCACCGCTAGCGAGCTAATTCCATTCTTCTCGACGGTCACTATTCAAGTCTAGCCACCGCTAGCGAGCTAATTCCATTCTTCTCGACGGTCACTATTCAAGTCTAGCCACCGCTAGCGAGCTAATTCCATTCTTCTCGACGGTCACTATTCAAGTCTAGCCACCGCTAGCGAGCTAATTCCATTCTTCTCGACGGTCACTATTCAAGTCTAGCCACCGCTAGCGAGCTAATTCCATTCTTCTCGACGGTCACTATTCAAGTCTAGCCACCGCTAGCGAGCTAATTCCATTCTTCTCGACGGTCACTATTCAAGTCTAGCCACCGCTAGCGAGCTAATTCCATTCTTCTCGACGGTCACTATTCAAGTCTAGCCACCGCTAGCGAGCTAATTCCATTCTTCTCGACGGTCACTATTCAAGTCTAGCCACCGCTAGCGAGCTAATTCCATTCTTCTCGACGGTCACTATTCAAGTCTAGCCACCGCTAGCGAGCTAATTCCATTCTTCTCGACGGTCACTATTCAAGTCTAGCCACCGCTAGCGAGCTAATTCCATTCTTCTCGACGGTCACTATTCAAGTCTAGCCACCGCTAGCGAGCTAATTCCATTCTTCTCGACGGTCACTATTCAAGTCTAGCCACCGCTAGCGAGCTAATTCCATTCTTCTCGACGGTCACTATTCAAGTCTAGCCACCGCTAGCGAGCTAATTCCATTCTTCTCGACGGTCACTATTCAAGTCTAGCCACCGCTAGCGAGCTAATTCCATTCTTCTCGACGGTCACTATTCAAGTCTAGCCACCGCTAGCGAGCTAATTCCATTCTTCTCGACGGTCACTATTCAAGTCTAGCCACCGCTAGCGAGCTAATTCCATTCTTCTCGACGGTCACTATTCAAGTCTAGCCACCGCTAGCGAGCTAATTCCATTCTTCTCGACGGTCACTATTCAAGTCTAGCCACCGCTAGCGAGCTAATTCCATTCTTCTCGACGGTCACTATTCAAGTCTAGCCACCGCTAGCGAGCTAATTCCATTCTTCTCGACGGTCACTATTCAAGTCTAGCCACCGCTAGCGAGCTAATTCCATTCTTCTCGACGGTCACTATTCAAGTCTAGCCACCGCTAGCGAGCTAATTCCATTCTTCTCGACGGTCACTATTCAAGTCTAGCCACCGCTAGCGAGCTAATTCCATTCTTCTCGACGGTCACTATTCTAGTCTAGCCACCGCTAGCGAGCTAATTCCATTCTTCTCGACGGTCACTATTCTAGTCTAGCCACCGCTAGCGAGCTAATTCCATTCTTCTCGACGGTCACTATTCAAGTCTAGCCACCGCTAGCGAGCTAATTCCATTCTTCTCGACGGTCACTATTCAAGTCTAGCCACCGCTAGCGAGCTAATTCCATTCTTCTCGATCGCTTTTCTTTTCTTTGTTTGGTCTGATGATGGCGGCTTTCCTTCCAAGCGTTCGTTTCTTTTTGGTCTTCTATTTTCATTCAAGCTTTCACATGACCTGACCTTGCTATTGCCGTAAATTTCCCGACGGTTGTTGAACCTGACTGGTTTTAGCTGTACAGCAACTAATCTATCTGTTTCATTATTGGATTAAGAAAGCATTCGGTTGTTGAGCCGAAGTCTTGTTGTGTGAAAACATTTGTTTCTCACTTCATTTTAAAAGGGATTTTTGTTTTCAAATCCAAGGTGAATTTATTCAGGAGGATCAGCAAGTCAAGACAAAAACACAAACTTACAAACTATACAAAATTAATACTACATAAAAGTACAACGACACACTACAACTACACACATTTTAAACCACACAAAATTACAACTATACAAAATTAAAACTACAACTGGTCAAACACATATCTGTGTCATAGTAAGGAAGATAATTCTGCGACGATCTTTTTTTCAAATACTTGTTTAAGAGGTGACATTTTCTCCAGGAGGACAACAATCCTTAGTTTACCGACTGAAAAAAAAGTTAAAAAAGAACGCGAAAATGACCACATGTGGCGTAAGGGTAGCCACTGTCTTCAAGTGCAGAAACCAACTGCACACCCCCACCCCCAACCTACAGACTTGTTATTTTATGATACTTATAAGGATACAAAGGTTTCTTTGAAATGGGTTACGCTCTGTTTTGGGCACTCCTGCAGTGGTATTTGTTATGAATATCGCGCTGAAATAGGCAGCCCAGGGTCATTGTAAAACAAGGGTCCCCAAACGGGGCTCAACGTGGCCCAGGAACTGGGAGTAAACAAGCTTTGGGGCCACTATTTTCAGCTTCATCCCACCATTTGTTGGCCATCAATTTTACTTTCTTTAAACCGCATTAACCAGAAGCTGGTGCCGGTAACTGTTACAATAGCGTCGTTAGATTTTTTTCCAAACTAAATTTTTGACATCTAAAAAACGGTTCTCAAAGAAATACCCCGTGGCGTCGTTAGCTAAAAAAAAAAACTAAAAAAAAAAAAAAAGAATTTTAAAGAAAAATTTATTTTGCATTTTTATCTTCGAAAAATATTATAAAATTCCAATTTACATAAATGGAACTAAAAAAAAAAAATTTTTTCCAAACTAAATTTTTGACATCTAAAAAACGGTTCTCAAAGAAATACCCCGGGGCGTCGTTAGCTAAAAAAAAAAAATAAAAAAAAAAAAGAAGTATTTTCAAGAAAAATTTATTTTGCATTTTTATCTTCGAAAAATATTATAAAATTCCAATTTGCCTACATGGATCTATAAAAAAAAAAAATCACTTCTTAAGAAGTCGTATATAAAAATTATATCAAATCAAATTGTAATGAACATCTGCGTGCGATTGTTATAGAACAAAAACTTATACGACTTCAACTATAATTAATTAAAACATTTAACCAATTGTTGGTGTTTTTTAACTCTTGCAGTAGTCACGATATTATATTGGTCAAGTGTTTTTACAGATTTATAAAATAAACCTTATAGAAGTTTGTTCTGGTAACAATCGTAGTTAACTCTTACAGGAGCCGTGTCCTTAACATCTCTCTCAGTCTATACGTCATCTCCCACCTGGACACAGTGATGATGTTATCCTCGGGCACAGAGCTCAGAAGATCAGCAGGGAGGCTCGACAGTAATTGCCTGTCCACCAGAACAACTACCCGGTCAGGGTTTGTCGGGGTCAAGGCGTAAACAGCCGACTTCATGGTAAATAATGACCAGTGGTCATCGTTGAGAAACGTTCTGTTGACCACTAAAAGGATCCTCCAACTTGAGTTGATGGCTTCCACGATCCCTTGGGCCATGTCGAATGTCGGCAGGAGGTCACGGTCTTGAAGGTAAGTTGTTAAGACCAATGTGTTTTCAATATATTGTCGCAAATCGGTGCAAGCGAAAACGTAATCGCGGTCAGCGTATCCAATGAACACCCCGATCTTGTAATCTTTTGATTTGAGAACCTTGAATTTGGTGAACATCTGGAGCAAGCTTGAGAGGATGAAAGTTTTGTTTCTGGTGATGACCAATGTGGTCAAAAATCCGATGATCAATGTGCAGAAGAGGAAAATGGACACGCTGAAATAGAACTGACCCGAACACTGCCGCCACATTGCAATGGGATCAGCGAACGCCTTCGTGTGGGATAAAACCCTATCATTGTTGATGCAGCTGTAGTTCCCATCACGGTCGAGAATAACGCTGGTGTGCCCCAGCCAATATAGATAATGGAAACTTTCGCAGACGCACAACATAACATTTCCACCCAGCTTGAGCTGAAATCCGTCTGAATCTACCGCCAACTGGTCAAGGTTTCCTGTCGTCTCCTGGTCAAGGGAGACTATGGCGTTGTTTTGGAGGTCTAGAACTTGAAGTTCGGGTGTGTTTTTGAGGTTGAAAGGAACGTGATTGAAACGGTTCCCGGCTAGAAGAAGATGAGTGATTTGGCGGTTGGAAGAGAACGTGTTAGGTGACAGTAACGTCAAGGAGTTTCCATCCAGGCTCAGTTTCTTGAGCTTTGTCAGCTTCTGGAACAGCCTTTCACTGCTGGAACAAAAAAAATCCGGATTTAAGTTCGTGTTGGTCAAGTCTACATACTCCAGACTTTGGCATGTATCAAAGAATGTTGAGGACAATTTTTCCAAATCATTCCCAGTCAATAGAAATGTTTTGAATCCATAAAATCCACTTACAGCCCCTGTAAATCTTTCAAATCCATTGTCAGAGAGATCCAAAAAAAATAAGTTTTGTGCCCCACGAAACGTCACTGAGATGTCAAGTTTTCCACTAGTGATGCAGTTGCTAATGTCGATGAAGTGCAAAGAGTCTGACACATACACAAATATACCGGACGAATGGTCCGGGCCGAATAAGACGCGTTGAACGCGATTGTTGCCAGCCTCGCTGTGATTTATCTTGGAGCTTTCAGATCTGCACTCGTTTACTTGAGATTGACTCCGTGCTGCGGTTAACTTATCTGGAATCAGGGTGTTTTTCCCGCTGGACCGGAGACAGTTACGTACAAAAATCACTTCTAAATTCCTCATGGTCAGGAGTCTAGCGAATGCCATAACCGTTCCTTTTAAAGGATTTTCAGACAAGTCAATGAACTTCAAACATCGCTGCCAAGTTTCACTCACCAAAGCGTCAAACGTTATGACGTAAATATGTGAGTCTGTAAGCGTGAATTCCCTGACGCAAATGTCTAGTAGATGTTTTGTTTTGTTTCTGTCCAGAATCCCATTCTGGCTGATCATATCCGGAGCTTGATTTCTGCTTGTTGAAAATAACTGCCTGAAAAAGATCACGGCCATGTTTGTCTTCTGGAGAGGTTCCAGTGCTCGCATTGTCTTCTTCACTCCGACGGGGCTTGAGTTTATCTCGAGCCTGTTCAAATGTTTCAGATGGACTAAGGCTTGCGTGTCTAATTCTGTCAACTGATCCAACTCTATAAGCCTCAGTTCTCGAAGATGAGGAACATTGATGAAACTGTGATTGCCGATGATCTTCGCAGAGCCAGACAAGGTCAAGCTGGAAAGCACCTTTAGCTCTTTAAACTCTTCACCCATTGACACTACTACATCGACGGTGTCGAGCGAGAGTTTGGTCAGATTGGTCAAGCGTCTCACGTCGGGAAAGCTCGCGTTTCGAAGACTTTGTTCCTGGACGAGCAGAAGAGATGTCAGATTCAGTAACGATGAGAAGATATTCAATGGAAAACCTTTTTTTGGAATAAGATCATTATGTTCTAAGTTAAGAATTTCCAAACTTTCCAATCCCATAAAGGCGCCATCATAGACTCTGACTAATTTGTTGAACGATATGCTCAAGGTACGAAGACGGTGAAGTTGGGAGAATGTTCCGTTAGTTAAGACAGAAATTAAATTAAAGTCCAGAAGAAGGCTTGTAGCATTTGATTCAAACCACGAAGAGTTAATTACGTTAATTCTTTTGTATGAACAATCCACTATAACTTTTTCTTGGTAGTAAGTAGTTGAACACGGCGATACTTCCATAGGAAAAGTAAACGTCTTTTCATCTCCCTGCTCTTGTCGTTCTTTCTCCGAATATCTTTCCTTGACAGTATCGGGCTGTTGGAAAGGTTTAACTGCATTAAACTTAAAGGACCATGTTCCTTCTTCGTCCTCGATTTCTGAACTGTTGCTGTCATTCGCATTCACGTGAAGACTTTTACTTATATTGTTTAGCACAGCCTTACGTAGGCAAAAGCATAGCTGTACACTTAGGATAATGATCAATGATATGTTCGACGCCGAAGCCATAGTTAGGGCTTACTTCATGGTGCATAGATCCGCGGTCTAAGTCTGAATTCACACTGTCTTTAACACGATCTTCATTTGGTGTGACGTCGGGCTAAGTTCAATATTTGCTCCATCGTGTGTGACATCCTGTTGAATCAACACTATATTCATAAGGTCTGACTTCACAATGAGTTCAACTCCATGTTCATAAGGTCTGACATCACTGTGAGTTCACCTCCAAATTCATTAGGGCTTCCATCCAAGTGAATTCAACCCTACATTCATAAGGTCTGACATCACTGTGAATTGAGCATTAAATCCATTAGGTCTGACATCACTACGAATTCATCGTTTATTACAGTAGTCCTTAATTCATAATGTCCAAACAGATCAACTTCGGCTGAGAAATTTCAAAGAACCGAACGAATTTAGATAAATACCCCGTATCGCCACCGCACGCTGTATCTTTCCATCTTCATATTTGACTATCCAATTGTTGCACACGCAAGTCATGGCTGTCAGGCAACACGAACCCAAGTAACCACAACTCAGCTGATTTCACTTTCACTTTTGCACTGTTTCGTAAGTATTGGCAAAGTGTAGGCGAGATGACGCACAGTTAAACGGGGACCACATAGCTATGGACGCTCTAATCTTTAGAAGTTGGACATATGGAAGTCCGAACTTGAATTCTAAAGTCTGCTTCTGTAATTTCGTCCTTCTTAAAAAAAAAAAAAAAACTCTGTTGGTGGCCAAAGTGCTGAGTTGATCCACTGTACTTGATGTACTGCTATCCGGTAGTGTACATTTACACACCGTACTTTTGATACGCATGTATGATGTGGTAAAATCACAATCAACGTCACCAGACTGCATAATGTGTACTCCAACATTAGTGTGTTGCCGTCTTTCTGAGAAAGGTTTGTATCCTGTTATGTATGCTATCAGGCAAGTGTGTTCCAATGCACACTAATTGTTTTTTCCCTTGAGGACGACAGTTGTCCAGGCAGATGTTGCAGTGTGCGCCCCTGTAGCCTAATTTCACTCTTAATATCCGGGTTTTTAAATGACCTATTTACAGGGATTTCCACATTTCTGCCCCCAAGGCCAAAGCACATAATTCTGAACCCTAGGTCAAAGCACATAATTCAACACCCTATGTCAAACCACATAATTCTGCACCATAGGCCGAAGAACATGATTCTGCGCCACCCCCCTTCTCAAAAGTTTATTTAAACCTTCCAATTTAATATTTAATAGTTTATTCTTTACAACAAAATCACTTATTTATTATACAATCTTTTTATTCTTTAAGACACGTTATATTTTAATTTAAATCTACACTACTACATAATTCTATATGTCATTTTTCAAAATAATACTAAAAAAATCTAAATATTATATTGATATTTCTTCTGCATATACGCACCCCCCCCCCCATTTTTCATTTTTCCGACTGGCTACTGCACACTAGGTCATGTCCTAGGTTGGTCTATGGGATATCCCGCCCGACATTATTAAGTCGCGTTACAACGTAGATCACATAGGGAGATGGTGGCTGCGGGCCGTCGAGGGCGAGCTCTTAATGCCCCCCCCCCCCCACCACGGCAACCTCCACATGGGCCAGACCCCTGGCCTGGGCACGACCTACTAGAACTCAGTGGCAAGTCCACCCTACTAGTCCACCAGGCCACGAAGAGGCAAATCCCATGTGGGCGCCCCCCCCCCCC